TAGAAATGGAGCTCAAAGTAGGGGAAATGTTTGATTTTTGCCAATGTTCAAAAGTAAACAAATGATGCCATTGTCCAATAAATGTCCAACTAGCCATTCTAATATGCAGTCATGAATGGGTTGATGTTATTTATACAGTTATTACAGCATTGCAGTAGTCTGCATAATAGTAAGTCTAATATTTTTTGTTTGAATAAAAATTCAAAATAGAAAGCAAGAGTAATATCAGAAGGGCCTGGAGACGTGACTGATGAACAAAGAAAATGTTATTTTAGAGCCAGGAATGTCTGCATTGTTCATTCTGGACCTTATTTTGAAATTGTCATATTTTTTAGTTTTCGTGAAATTGGCCAAATTGCAAATTTCTGACCACATTATTAGGTAGTTGAAATCAGTAAATGGGCAGTTTCTTGTATTCAATCAATAGAAAAAATGAAGTTCTAAAGAAATAGCTATGAGTTTGGGCGACTGGAACAATGGAATTAGCCGAAAATAGGGCTCAAAGTGGGCGAAATCGCCGATTTGTAAACAGCGCCGAGGTCGCTAACTTCACGAGAGCATAATTCCGTCAGTTTTCCATCAAATTTCGTTTTTTTGGTGTCATTACAATCGGGAAAAGATTCTCTATCATTTCATAAGAAAAAATAATTTTTTTTTTTTAAATTTTGCGACACCAGGAGACACCTCAGGATTGGGGGTTGCGACAGTCAAAGGGTTAAGCATTGAAATCCCCAACCACAAGTACTCTCACACTTGGTTCAAAACTCCCCACGCATTCACTCAACATTTCCCAAAATCTCTCTCTCCCCTCTACACTTCACTCTTCTCCAGGTGCATATGCATTTACTATAACCCACTTTTCACATCCAACCTTTATTTTACTCCACATAATCCTTGAATTAATACATTTATAGTCCTTCTTTTCCTGCCATAGCTTATCCTTCAACATTATTGCTACTCCTTCTTTAGCTCTAACTCTATTTCAAATTCAAAGTTTATTCTCTATAAGGATTACAATGCTGAGTTTACAGAATTTGGTTATTGTGTGGTTTACATGTAGTAAAGTACTAATTACAGAGGGTGCCACTAAACACCTAGCATGGCTAGGCATTTCGGGCAGACTTAGATTAATTCTTAAATTTAAAATATTACAAATTATGAGGTAAGTTGGTATTATGGCTAAGTGACTAAATACTAGTTTGTGAGTTTAGCAATGTGAATGCTTTTGTTTTGGCACAATACATAGTTTCAGTATTGGAGTATCACAGGCCAACTTATGACTAGTTAGGATTCATTATTTTAAGATTGAGATTGATATTTCTGTTTATGGTCAAATGGCGAGTGAGTGTAAGTGTGAACCACCAGGTAGTATTCGTGTAATTAGTTGACGGTGTGTATCAGGGAGATAAGATGTTTTCTAATGGTAGTTTTGAAGGTGATGAATGTGTCTGCAGTTCTAGAGTTTTCAGGTAGGGTGTTCCAGATTTTAAGGCCTTTGACATACATTGAATTTTTGTAAAGGTTTATTCGGACACGAGGTATGTCATAGAGATGTTTGTGTCTGGTGTTATGCCTGTGGATTCTGTCACAACTATCAAGAAAGCATTTTAGGTCAAGGTTAATATTGGAATTTAAGGTCCTGTAGATGTAGATTGCATAGTAGTAAGTGTGGATGTACTGAACAGGGAGTAAGTTTAGATCTATGAAGAGTGGGGGGCGGTGTGTTGCCAGGGATGGGATTTAGTGATTATTCTTACTGTGGCTTTTTGTTGGGTTATTATTGGCTTTAGGTGTGTTGCTGCAGTTGATCCCCAAGCACAAATAGCATTCTCCCACCCCCTTCAGCTTTGTTTCACTTAAAGCCAGGGCATCCAGCTTCTCATTCATAACATCCACAATCATCTCTTATCATCCGCACAACATCCATGCACATTCATATCCCACTTTGACAATTTTCTTCTTATTCTTTTTAGTAACTATTACAGGAAAAGGGGTTACTAGCCCATTGTTCCCGGCATTTTAGTTGACTTTTACAACACGCATGGCTTACGGAGGAAAGATTCATATTCCACCTCCCCATGGATATAAAAGGAAAAGTAATAAGAACAAGAACTATTAAGATAAAGACAGAAAACTCAGATGAGTGTGTATAAATAAATGTGTACATGTATGTGTAGTGTGACCTAAGTGTAAGTAGAAGTAGCAAGACGTACCTGTAATCTTGTATATTTATGAGACAGGCAAAAGACACCAACAATCCTACCATCATGTAAAACAATTACAGGCTTTCGTTTTACACTCACTTGGCAGAACGGTAATACCTCCCTGGGTGGTTGCTGTCTACCAACCTACTACAACCATTATTATTATATATGTATTTATTATTATACATAATATAATAATATTATTATTATTATTGTTGTATTATATTATTATACTATCGTTATTATACGTATTATTATTATTATTATTACAATATAAATAATTTAATTTTTATTCACACAAAAAATATAAAATTGCAATAATTGTATAAATAATGTCAACCCATTCAGGACTGCATATTGGAATGGACAGCAATCGAACATTTCTCCTATGTTGAGCTCAATTTCAAGGTACTTTTTGTCATGAAAGCAATCAAAATCATATCTATTTCTGTAATATATCTTCCATTCTATCAATTGAGACTAAAAAAAACAAGAATACAAACATAAAAACCATATGAAAAAATACCACTAAGGGGCGGCTAATTGCTGAGAAGTGAATTCTGTTATTTATGTTCCGATTTCTTTCATTTTTTGGTGTACATTAAGAAGCATCTTTCCATCATACATTGCCCAAGTTTCAATAAGATAGTCCAACAAACAAATGAGATACAGTTCTCTAGATCAAGAGCAAGAGCCTCTCACTAGCGTCAAGGAACCTGCCTTGAGGTCTGCTCGCTTATGGAAATTTTGCCCGCATATGGAAACAAAAAATCGACCCATTGACTGCTTGTATTTGGAAAAACTTGCACATGGAAGCGCTTGCAAGTAGAGGTTCCACTGTATTGGTTTGGCTTGCTGCATTGCTATGTCTATATATGTCTCCTGTTGTCCTTTCTTGTATTCCTTTGTTTCTATGATATCTCTTCCCTCACCCCACTTCCCTGCTGTATGACCTTAGTGGGTTTAGCGCTTTATTATTTTAATGATAATCTCTCCCCCCCCCCAAAAAAAAAAAAAAAACTTGTTTTTTATTAAATTAACGTGATTGCAACTATTGTGGGCCATCTTGTATAAATGTTACTTTTTAAAAAAATTATTCTCCTGTAAAAAGATTGCATACTGTAAATATGCAATAACATATTTATAGTATATTGGATTACAAGTTGGACTAAAACCCATGAAAAGCCAGTCTTAACCCTTTGAGGGTCGAGAGGCCCACTCCCAAACTCGTTCTCAGGGTCAAAGTTTTCAAAAAAAAAAAAAAATAATTTTTTCTTATGAAATGATAGAAAATCTAATTCCGATCATAATGACACCAAAAGTATGAAATTTAATGAAAAACCTACGGAATTATGCTCTTGCGAAGTTAGTGGTCTCAAAGTTGGTGATTTCGCCCACTTTGGGCCCTATTTTCTGCCAATTCCAATGTTATTGTTGACTAAAATCATAGCTATTTCCCTAGAACTCCACTTGTTCTGTCGATTGAGTACAAGAATCTGCCCATTTACCGATTTCAACTACCCAATAAAGTGGTCAGAAATTGGCAATTTGGGCAATTTCACACAAATTTCAAAAGATGCCAATTTCAAAATAGGGTTCAGAATAAACAAGACAGACATTCATGGCACTAAAATAACATTTTATCTGTTCATGAGTCACATCTCTAGGCCCCTCTTACATTACTTTTGCTTTCCATTTTGAATTTTTATTCTCACAGAAAATAGAAAGTTTTCTGTTATGTATACTACTGCATCATTGTAAAAACGGTATAAATGATATCAGCGCACTTGTGAAAGAATAATAGACTCACCAGTTGACGTGTATTGGATGCGTGGCTTGATTTGTTTACTCTTGAATATTGGTAAAAATCGATCATTTTCGCTAGTTTGAGCTCAATTTCAAGGTACCTGTCATTGTGAAACCAATCAAAATCATCTCAAATTCTGTAATATATCTTCCATTCTATCAAATGAGACAAAGGAAACAAAAATACAACAATAAATACCATGCAAAAATACACTAGAAAGTTGCTGTTTTAAACCAAAAACAGTTAGTTTTTTTTTTCTCATTATGCACAGTGTGCTTAAGCATTTTTTTTTTATACTGCACACACTGACCACACAGATCCATTCTTTCGTGTGTAGGCCTGCCAGCTTTCTTCCACCATATTTGAAGGCGCTAGAATTTAGGTGTACAAGTACGAGACCGACCCTGGCTGCAGTGACGTACTTGTACGTGACTGACCCTCAAAGGGTTAAAACTAGTAGGTCAGTGTTATCCATTGTACCATGTTGGGTGTATTTTTCTACGATAAGGTTAGCATAGGTCTCATTCTGACCATGCATGCAAGTTTACAGTACAATAGTGTCATTACAATTTCGTGAGTCATTAAGGCTTTGATGGGACTTAAGCTAGAGCTTACCCGTAGCCATTCTAGCATGAGAATCTTCTGTAAAAACCTGCATCTGTGGTCACAGTAGGACCCATGCTAACCTTCTTGGGTGTATAGAACTACTAGTTTGATGGATCTTATTAGGCTAATATGGGATAGTATAGATCTTATTAGGCTAGTATGATACAGTATGGCTCTCATTAGGCTGGTATGCTGTGGGTTTGAACTCCATGCCATATAGTGAGTTATTTTCAACTGTATCTTTACAATTTCATGAGTTATTCTATTGTGCACTTATGGTATATTTAAATTTGTATATTTTTCTCAAGCTTACGCAGCATTTAGATGCACTATTCTAAAAAATTAAAAATGCATTCGTAAACATACTTTGACTTCCTTTACAGGCAAGGTCCTTCTCCACCTCGGTGGCTATGAAGCAGTTGGTTAAGGTTAGTTTTTTAAATACTGCATGCCTTGGTAGGATTTTATTTTCCCATTTACTTGTACTTTCCATCCCTCTTTTTTCCTGTCAACTAAGCCAGACAAAGTACATTACCAGCCAGACAGTCTTAAAATTATCTAGCTCAGGGTTTTTACTTGGTGGTCCATGGATTCCCTAGGGAGTCCATGAACCAAGGCTGAAAAATGCATTTTTTCTCTAGTGTTCCTTACTGTTACTTTGAAGATTTCTTTTGTAATAGAATTCAGTTTTATGTCAAATTATCAGTTTGTTTTATTGAAGCAATGTGAAAAATTGAGATACTGGTTTTTCTGTGGTAAGTTTTGAATGTATAATTTGATGGGGTAAAACCTTCCCTGCTGCTACCTTGAGAATGTATCTTCTGAGTGGTTTCAGACTTTGGAAGTTAGTGTATGCTAGTGGAAGCATCAGATTAATTTTGAGCTATGTGGGTGCCATGTTGACAATTTATTGAATGGTATAGTTTCCTTGCATTAACTTGTGAATACATCTTTTGATATTAAACTGCATTAGAAACTTGTACTGTACTTTGTACTGTACTACTTTATTTATTTTGTATGCATTGTGGTAGAGTGGTCCAAGTTAATGGGATATAGGGATACTTTTCTTGATAGCTCAGCAACCAAAACACATCTAGTTAAAATACTAAATGTAAGATTATTTAATTTCTAGCCTCCAATTCAGCTGTTTGGATTAGAGGGTCGTTATGCTACTGCTCTTTATTCGGCAGCCTCAAAGCAGAAGGCAATAGATGCTGTTGACAAGGATATGAAAACATTTTCTGTAAGTATAAGAGAGCATAATGTATTTGATTATGTTCATGTAATTATGTTGAATTTAATGTGTACTTAGTGCATCGTCTTTAACCCTTAAATGGTCCAAACAAATAGACGTTCAAATTCGTAGTGCTACAAAAGTAGATCTACTTTTTTTTTAACATATTTTCAAATATAACAAAAAAAAAAAATGTAGATAAAAGTTTTTTTTACACATTTTCAAATGTAAAACAAAAAAGTTCTACATTTTTTTACATACTTTCAGATGTTGAAAAAACGTATATATACATTTGGACCATTTAAGAGTTAAGTAAGTTGGGTGGCAGGTAAGGTGTGATTGTTCCTGTCCTTACAGGCATTATGACAGTGTGAACATGGTTGTCTTTATTAACATTGTGGCAGGTACACTGTGTGTGATCTTTGTCCATAACCACTAGCAGTATAAGCTACCAGTGAGAATTCATTCTTTGGCTTTTCCTTGTCTATAAGTCTTCAGTAATAGAGGTGTCTAGTCAACATGTTGTTGCAGCCTGCAGGCCTGCCGAATAAGGCAAGCGAAAATTTGCGTATGCAATAATTTCGCAAAAATCATGCTGAACCTTACAAAAAAAAATTCTTTGTTTATTATTAAATTATTGTAAACGTGTATAAAATATATTTAGTTAGGGTTAGGCTAAATTAAATTGTGCTTGTTATAATAAGGTTATAAAACAATAAGAACAAGAGAAGTGGCTGCCCTAGGACAGACAACATAGTTACCTTGACAAGGTTCTGAGAGCAGGCAAAGAGACCAGTAGCCAGCCACATAAGTTCCCAGCCACGTTCCTAACTCAGATGGTTCCTGTTTTCTGTCAGGTTTTTTTGTTGCAAAATTATTAATTTTTACACTAACATGAATGAATAAAATATATCTTTAAATATACAGTGGACCCTTGCCTTACGACCGCATAGCGTTACGTTAAATCCGCCATACGAAGCATTTGAACGCAAAAATTTTGCCTCGCCTCAAGATAAAAAAAACTCGCCGTACATGATTCGTCCGGGACGCGTCCCAAGTGTGGCCTCAGCGCCAGTGTTTACAAGCCAGCCAGTGTGGTCGCATCTATGCATACATTTGGTACATTTCACATTATCCCAGTGTTTTTAGTGCTTGTAACTGCAAAATAAGTCACCATGGACCCCAAGAAAGCTTCTAGTGCCATCCCTGTGGTAAAAAGGGCGAGAATTAGTATGGAACTGAAAAGAGAGATTAAGGAAATGTGTGCATAGTGGGTTGAACTGCAAACCTTTACGAATGAAAATCACTCTGACACAGCTACTGCAAGCCATGTTGGCAACCTGTACATTGACAATGTTATGGCCCATTTTAGGAAAGTCTTAACCCTTTCAGGGTCTATGCCGTAGATCTACGGCTTTACGTTCAGGGTCCAAACCGTAGATCTATGCCATGAGCTCAGCTCACTCTGATAAGCTGTGAGCAGTAAATTTGGGCCTAGATATGAGAGAATAAATCTGTGGTATGTGTGTGCACCACATAAAACAACTCCTGCAGCACACAGTGCATAATGAGAAAAAAAACTGAGACCATAATTTTCGATTAAAATAGCGACTTTGCAGTGTTTTTTCGTATGTTTTTTATAGTTGTATTTGCAATTTCTTGGTCTCGTTTGATAGAATGGAAGATATACTACAGAAATAGAGATGATTTTGATTGGTTTAAGTACTGGAAATGGCTTGAAACTGAGCTTAAAGTAGTAGAAATGTTAAATTTTTGTTGATGTTCAAGAGTAAACAAATGACCTCACAAGTCTAATACATGACAGCTGGTGGGTCTGATATACATTCACAAATGTGGTGATATTATTTATACAATTATTACAGTATTGCATAACAGTAAATCTTCTATTTTTTTATTTGAATAAAAATTCATTATGTGAATAAAAAATCAAAATGGAATTCATTTGTAAAGTCTGAAAACGTAACTGATAAACAGAGGAAATGTTAGTTTAGTGCCAGGAATGCCTGCATTGTTTATCCTGGACCCTATTTTGAAATTGGAATATTTTGAACTTTGCATTAAATTGGCCAAATTACCAATTTCCAATCACTGTATTTTGTTGTTGAAACAGTTGACTTGGCAATTTCTTGTGCTCAATCGATAGAATAGAAGTAATACATACTAGTGAAATAGCTAAGAATTTGGTTGACTGGAATACTGTAATTGCCCTAAAATGGGAGTCAAAGTTGGCAAAATCGCCGATGCATAAATATCGCCGACACATCAGAATTCGCGAGAATATAATTTCGTCAGTTTTCCATCAAATTTCATACTTTTTGTTTTATTACTTTCAGAAAAAGATTCTCTACCATTTCATAAGAAAAAATAACAATTATTTTTTGAAAATTCTTGGACCCTGGTGCACACTTTGAAATTTGGCCTCTGGACCCTGAAAGGGTTAAAGGAACGGGAGGTACAGAGCTCTGTGGACAGATTTGTTGTGCGGCAGAGGTCCAGTGACTCTCAAGCTGGTCCTAGTGGCATTAAAAGAAGGGAAGTAACCCCGGAAAAGGACTTGCTACCTCAAGTCCTAATGGAAGGGGATTTCCCTTCTAAACAATAACTTCCACACACTCCCATCCCATCAATCATCAGATCTTCAATAAAGGTAAGTGTCATGTATTCCATTCTTAGTAGAGTAGTAATTGTGCATGTCTTCTTCAGTTTGTGTGTATTAAAATTAATATTTCATGTGGTAACATTTTTTTTTTCATACTTTGGGGTGTCTTGCACGGATTAATTTGATTTCCATTATTTCTTATGGGGAAAATTAATTCGCCTTACGATAATTTCGGCTTACGATGAGCTCTTAGGAACGGATTAATATTATAAGGCGGGGGTCCACTGTACTATATCCACTCACTGTATGCAGCACAATAACTGCACAAACATTATCATTATATTATTTACAAAATTTGTGTACACAAACCAACAATTAAAAAATTTGTTTATTACTACGGCTCTATAATATATATAAATGTGTATATATATCCTAGGTAGTAGGTTGGTAAACAGCAACTGCCTAGGGAGGTACTACCATCCTGCCAAGTGAGTGTACAATGAAAGCCTGTAATTGTTTTACATGATGGTAGGATTGCTGGTGTCTTTCATCTGTCTCATAAACATGCAAGATTTCAGGTATGTCTTGCTACTTCTACTTACACTTAGGTCACACTACACATACATGTACAAGCATATATATACACACCCCTCTGAGTATTTACCTGGAGTTTACCTGGAGAGAGTTCCGAGGGTCAACGCCCCCGCAGCCCGGTCTGTGACCAGGCCTCCTGGTGGATCAGAGCCTGATCAACCAGGCTGTTACTGCTGGCTGCACGCAAACCAACGTACGAGCCACAGCCCGGCTGGTCAGGAACCGACTTTAGGTGCTTATCCAGTGCCAGCTTGAAGACTGCCAGGGGTCTGTTGGTAATCCCCCTTGTGTATGCTGGGAGGCAGTTGAACAGTCTCGGGCCCCTGACACTTATTGTATGGTCTCTTAACGTGCTAGTGACACCCCTGCTTTTCATTGGGGGGATGTTGCATCGTCTGCCAAGTATTTTGCTTTCGTAGTGAGTGATTTTCGTGTGCAAGTTCGGTACTAGTCCCTCTAGGATTTTCCAGGTGTATATAATCATGTATCTCTCCCGCCTGCGTTCCAGGGAATACAGGTTTAGGAACCTCAAGTGCTCCCAGTAATTGAGGTGTTTTATCTCCGTTACGCGTGCTGTGAAGGTTCTCTGTACATTTTCTAGGTCAGCAATTTCACCTGCCTTGAAAGGTGCTGTTAGTGTGCAGCAATATTCCAGCCTAGATAGAACAAGTGACCTGAAGAGTGTCATCATGGGCTTGGCCTCCCTAGTTTTGAAGGTTCTCATTATCCATCCTGTCATTTTTCTAGCAGATGCGATTGATACAATGTTATGGTCCTTGAAGGTGAGATCCTCCGACATGATCACTCCCAGGTCTTTGACGTTGGTGTTTCACTCTATTTTGTGGCCAGAATTTGTCTTGTACTCTGATGAAGATTTAATTTCCTCGTGTTTACCATATCTGAGTAATTGAAATTTCTCATCGTTGAACTTCATA